TACTTGTTTTGGACGAATTAATGGAATTTGAATTTTCACACACGTTTTGACGCGATAATCTCAAAATTTTGCGCACACGCGTTCGACTCGAACGAAATCTACTTTGAATAGAAAGTTTAGAATGGCCGGTGGGATACGATATTAAAAAAACAGAATAATAAACGAGTAAACGTGGTGTGTAACGGTTTAAATTATTTATGAAATTTATTATTACCATTATCGTTTGTATATTATTAATTATTATGTAGGTAGATACCGTTATAAACAGCATCACACTTTTCAGACTACATTTTCATACGCCGCCGCCGTGTGTTAATCGCTGTCCTTTTAATATATTATGATGCTAAACGGCTTTTTTGCTAAATTCACCATATTATCCCACAGATATTATGTTATTCTGTTTCATATTATCATTTTTATTTTCTAAACTAGTTTTCGTTAGTAGGTATTAATAGTAATTAGTTTATCATTTTCAAGTATACCTACGCATGCCAGTTTCGTAAAATGGAAATTATATTTATAATATTTTGAATGTTATCTAGGMTCTACCTAATCTTAATAAAATGTTTTCTAAATTGTGCGCGCAAGTTGCGATGATTTTTTTTTGTCAATCAAAAAATTTGACAAGCCACACTAAGCCAGTGACAGTAACCACTTGTGCGTTGTGCATTTCCTATGTTATAAGTACAATATATTATGTTATAACATTACCGCTATTGTCTACTATTGTCTATATAAATGTAATTAGMAATTATACCGAGTAAAAAAAAAACACGATGATATACAACCATTTTTACTGTAATTAATATAGATTATTAATGAATATTAAATATTGTATTTTAATAATAATATTGCACACCATAATCTTTTCAACACCTGCACTGGTCAATGATGTTAAAAAAATGATTGATAAATCCATCAGCTACCTTTGTAGTGTAAATATTAAAATGAGTTTCATTTATACATCATTGAAACAAAATAATCGAATAAATTTATTATGTGTATAGATAATTATGATAATTTATGTATAATAAAATCATTCATCTATCAGTAATACGTCGAATCTATTTTGTTATACAGTCATCTCAGTCATAGTTCAACACTGATAAAATATAAAGTACTGCATAATTTCTGAATAAACTACTTTTTTTTTTTTGTATAGATGGAGTCTGAATAATGGTTATCTTTATTTAATATTATTTTATACACATAATTATATTATATTACTAGGCTGTATATAATTATTATGATATAAACGTGTACAATAAAACACCATTAAATGAATGATTGTATTATAGCTAAATAAATAATTTTAGACGTTAAACTTGATATAAATTCAGTGGTGTATTAGGGGGGAGGGTAAACATCTCAAGGTTTTTTTGCTTTTGTTTTAGCGTATTATATTAGTAAAATAATATTATGTAAACATTATAAGTAAAATATGTATGAAATTATTACAATAGCTATTAAGTCACAAAAATAATACTTGGGTACAATTTTGCATTCAAGCGATTAGTACTGACTATAWYGGTAGGTACAGTCGCTAGTCCACATGTGTACGTTATACAGTATTATGGTTTATTGTATCTCAAAAATACATATTTTTTCTTCACACGATATGACATCGACTTAAAGTGGTTATGGAATAATTTCTCGTACAACAAATGTTCGGATATTGGGAAAACGCCACTAAGTGTCAATACTATGCGTATATCGGTTTGATTTTTTGCGAATAAATCAAACGTTAAACGGAAATTTACTCACATGCTGTTATATTATTATAATGTATGAAACGCGGCCGTCTGCCAGTGGTTCGATAGAGGGGGYGGAAGGGAAAACGAGACAGACGGATCGGACAATCCGCAGATTGATGTCTGAGAAATGAAGACGATGAAAGTGAAAACGAATCGCAGTGGAAGCAAACAAACGTGTCAAATCTGTTACGGCTTCCTACTTCCTGCATTACGAAACGTTCGCAACTGTAAATGTACAGGTATAATACCAGCTAGTATATACCTACTCTTCTCTGGTACCGCGGTAGCGGTGCAATTATCAGACCGGTAAATGTAGGTTTGTGTCCGCCATCTCTCTTTGGTTCTGTAGTGTATTATTTCGCACAATTGTATCTTATTGGTTGTTCATGTATAATAATAATACGCACACGCCTTGTTATTATATTTATTTATCGTACAAAACCAAAGTGCGTGTGTCTTGTTAACTATTTTTGTTATTTATTTATTTTTTTCATGCAAGAACGTTTTTGATGGCTTGGCCTGCGGTCGTTAGTGGTTTTTAATCATTTATATATATATATATATATATTTTTTTTTTAATCGACAAGGACGGTGTTTTTTTTCTTCAGATTTTGTCGTCTTATGATAAAAAATAAACAAATACACATAATATTATACACTATATAAACTCTAAATAACCGAACTAATCTCGAACGGAAAATAACGAATCGCCTAAAATATGTATTCAAGATTAAAGTAGGTAMCTACTATGTATGTACCTAGTTGACAATACGCTGCAGCAGTTATAAATGTGCGCGAATCTGGGCAATGATAATTTGTGTATGATATCTTAAACTGAACATTGAATATATATATATATGGTAAAAAAAAAACTATATTAGAACCCCCGCGTTGATTCAAGCAGCAACAATCTACTGTAATAATTCGTATTTTGCTTAATTCGACGACATTCGTCAACGAAGCACAAAAATATTAAAAAGCGAATCGAATATCATTAAATATAATGTATAATTCGATATAAAATAACAATATAGTCGTTTAATTGCGTCGAATAAGTACTGTGCATAGCCTTGAGTGGTATCCATCATATTGCTGGTTATGGTCGCTTGTAATGATATCAATCCATTTAAGGCATTTCCTATATACTGATAAATATATATACATATATATATATATCAGACTACTATATTTTAAGTTGTCCGATAAATATTATATTATAACTTTGTAGATTCCATATAGATTCAAAGTTTTTTTCCCGTATCGCTTGATATAGAATACACAGAGCAAAATGACAAAAACCCATGTCTATAAATCGGTTTTAAGCCTATAAACCATGAGCTGATTAATGAAATTCAATGACAGAACTAATGTGCTTAAATGTGTTTTCATTGTGTTCACACGAACCGTTTCCTGGAACAAGTTTCAGAAAGTCGACAATATTATTCTCATCTTACAAATCTTATTTATTAATTACGTGTACAAGACAACATACGCAATTTGTACGCGATAGTTATATATGTTGCTTCAAACGAGGGGTATACCTACCTACTACCCAAATAACGCCAATTCGTATAGTTTTTATTTTCTCGTCGATTTCTGTTGCGTTTTTGATTGTCAACTCGGAGTTACCTTGGATTACCCCGAAGGCCAATTCCTACACCGTCGTGATCCAAATATTGCGTATTTTTCATTAACTCGTGTTCGAAAACGTCGTTAATTAATCACCAATTTAGGTTTCTTATAAAATAAGACAATTAATACTATATTTTATGCTGCTGCTAACGAGATTTTCATGGGTGATTTGATTCGTTTTCCAGGTAAAGCTTGTGGTGTACCCAGAGATGGAAATCCCGACAAAAAAGAAGAAACAGAGCTTTTGTGGACCAACGTCGTAGAATCTCAATCAGCGTTTCTTGGACCGAATCTATGGGACAACAAAACCATACCATATGATAATGACCTTAAGGTAATTATTTTGTCTAAATATTAAGAATATATAAATATCGATTATATATTATTTATATTCCATTACCAAGTAGTAGTCCTACACCAGTGGCGAAACGATCCTATATGCAATTTCTGACTTATAATATTATATTCATTCRTTTATTCACCGACCGAGGTGTTTAAGTCTTAAAAAAATCGCGCTTAAATAACCATCACAATTAACAATGTCACTGATAGGTAAAAACTTCGCTATCATAAGCACCCAAGTAATTTTATTATATTATACTATGATACATTCAAAATAGTGGGTGACTTTAAGTAAACGTTAAGCTTATGTATAGTGCATAAGTTAGTATAGCATACAGCTATTATTTCATTCTAAAACTTCAAATTGAAAAAAAAAATGATCTTAAAAATAAATTAATACTTTTAACTACCACTTGGACTTGAGTAGCACATTATTTATACAGAATATAGTCATGTAGTAAGATTTTAGTAATAAAAAAACATACTATTATTAGATTTTAGTAATTATGCAACTTGGTTTTTTTTTTTAATAATAAACATTTCGATTAAAATATCTATACAATTCCTTGTTACTGCAGACTTTCACTGCACTCATAATGGTTTAGGCAATCATACATTTGTATCAACGAAATTAATTCAGACTAATTAAACAAACAAATAAATTATCAATTAGTTTCAATTAAAGTCGCAGATATTATATTTATAAATATAATTTTAATTTGGCTTATTTTTTTTTTTTTTTCTTGTACAAATTAACTGGATAAAGCAACAAAAAAATTAGGTACCTTCTAGTTTAGTTAAAAGTAGATAAAACCGCGGAAAACACGGTTGGCCATCCCGCTGCAGTGTACACGACGCATTAAAATAAATATATTATAAACTGTTTTAAAATAATAATAATAATTGTGTCCAAACCTAACCTCGTGACACGACGTTTGGTTTCAGTATTGTGACCTCGACGAATTCCTGTCCGAGAACGGATTGCCGGTGGAAGGCGACCACCAGAACGGAACGGCCGCTGGCAACGTCAACCCGGGCACCATAGTGGCGGCCGGCCACCAGGGTGGCGCACTCATGCCGGGCGCCAACAACCGCCTGTCCTCGCCGCCGCCGCCGGCTTCCATACACCCGATACAGCACTTGCAGACAAACGGCGTGGCCGGCGTGGGCGTCATACTGACCAAGCGCGAACCGTCTCCGTCGCCCAGCGAACCGCTTAGCCCGATCACCATAAACCCGGCGTCACCAGCAGATTCAAGTGAGTTTCGTCTAGAAAAATATATATCGTTTACTTTATTATTATCACGATCGATATATTATAATCGTCGTGAGTGTGTGCGACGGGACTTGAAAAAAAAATTAAATATGAAGAAAAAAAATCGACTTACTCGAATCTTCGATRAGATATGATGATGGTGACAAACCTATACGTGTTTGTCGTACCATGTTCCCGTCGGCCGTCGCCATCACTGATAATAATATTACGATCATATGAATTGTATGACTATCGATACATAATATAATAATATACAGTGGTTATACATAACATTATTATTAAAACCATTATGGCGGGCCTACGTGTACTTATTGTGTGCGTTTCGTTTTTTGCAGCATTGTCGTTCGCGTCGTCCAGCAGAGACTTTGACCCGAGAACAAGGCCGTTTTCCGACGAAGAATTGAAGCCGCAGCCAATGGTAAAGAAATCAAGGAAACAGGTGAGAAGGGCCTCGTTAACTTGATTGGTTTATTATTGTCATTAAAACGCGAACTTACTCGCGGCTCTAATGACACCCCATATTGACCATAATTTTTCATTAGTTTGTACCGGATGGGCTGAAAGATGAGAAATATTGGGCAAGACGTAGAAAAAACAACATGGCGGCAAAGCGATCGAGGGATGCGAGACGAATGAAAGAGAACCAAATTGCATTGAGAGCAGGGTTTTTAGAAAAAGAGGTATTTAAATTTAACTCGTACAACCTGACGAATATTATTCAAATAAATACCGACAAGGCTCGTAAAATGCAGTAGGTTTAGGTTAGGGGTGGCATAGCGTTATGGATACCCACAGGAGTACCTAATTAAAAACGAAATCAGAAATTTGAAACAAAATCTATACAAAACCAGTTTAATCTTACCCAGCCAATTTCGGAGTATCTGTAGGTTGGTTTTCAAGCACTTTACAATGTTTCTTRGTAGAATAATGATTGCGGTGTTATATGAAAATCACTAAAACAAATGTACCAATTTCTTGTACTATTAAAATTCGAGTGACCAAGTCCGATTGAAATAACACTTATTGAAAAGATGATTGAATAAAGTTGTATTTCATTAATGAATCCATATTAATGATTATTTATAATCATGTTACATCACATTAAACTTCTTATAATAATTTATCATCGACAATATTTTTTTCCAATCTTGTAGTTGAACATCACGCGCGTACGGTGTACCTATATAAAAAAAAAATAAGTATTTAAATGATCGAATTACCTACACACCAGTATTCATCATCATTAGACTATTTTTTAGTCGGTTATTACGTCTTATTAATTGTTACGATGAACTACTACTATTAAGATTTTGTTTATGATGCCCACATAGGTCAACTATAAAAACTTCTAATATAGTCGATTTTAAACCTGTGCAGATTATTCTAAATTTTATACTTACATTAAATTTCTGTAGAATCGTATTTTTGTGTTCTAATACGCTTCATAATAATATAACCTTTGCTTTTCTAACTAAAAAACCGAAAATATTATTAAGACAAAAATAATAAAGTACGTATTGTTTGTACATTGCAGAACATGGGCCTTCGACAAGAGATGGAACGTTTAAAGAAAGAAAATTTAGCACTCCGAGATCGTCTTTCAAAGTTCGAGATCTAAATTATTTCCCGTGGATTTGTATGCACCATAATACCCTTACCCTCTGTGTTTTTGAAAAAAGAAATACCTTACCCAAATTATTGTTACTATTTATCGCACCGTTGACCGTCAGCTCGTTAATAAACACTTACTCTTCCAACGCACCGCGGTGGTCGCCTATAAGGAGTTGTGTATAGAAATGAGTTATATTTTAATATTAATACGTTGTAGCTTATTAAAAAATATGAATGCATATAACCATATAATATATGTATACAATAATATATAGCAAATATTATTGTTATTACGCAACTGATCTCAATTCCAAATACGAAAGAAATACCACGTTCAATATCATCAAACACAATTTGTYGGACCTCAACTGCAGATTCTCCTCACGAAGAAAACAAATTTATCGGTGCAACAGCACGACTGGACACAATATTACACAATACGAAACAAAATTAATTTTCCCGAGTTTAAACTTACTATAGCATTTAAGTAAGTCGATGTACATGGTTTTTGTTGTTCTGTACATAAAATAGGTCTACAATTATTAAATTATTAATTATATTATTATTATTTTATTATTTTTATTATTATTATTATTATTATTATTATAAATCGTCCTATTTATATGTTTTTATAAAAATGAAATGCGTGTTAACCTGACATATTATATTAATATAGTCTTGATAAGTATAAAAAAATATTATAAACGTAAAAAAAATAATTCATAGGTACAAGATAAGACTTTATATAATGCTAATTGAGAAAAAAAACAGGATTTAATTTCATTTTATTCTTATTTTTTTTTTTTTTATCGGTTGCATTGGTCGTTATAATATATCGAGAATTGACCCTTCTAGATGCAATTTATTTCATAACATTGTTAATATACTATAGTGGACGATATGATTTCTTTAGTGAAGTTTTGAGGGATCTGTTTTCGTTTTACATCTTTATCGTTGCGTGGGGATTTGTTTTATTTATTTATGCTTCCAATATTGTATAACATGTCAATTAATTCATAAGATCATCACAAATTAATTATTAATTGTTTTATTTTAATATAATGTATAGATTTCTTGAATATATTATATAATTATCCTTCCTCCTCATTATGATTGACGAGTGTTTTTAATATGTTTAGTTTTACCATTATTATTTAATTGTTCGATTAGATACTTATCTTTTTCTTTATTATTATTTTTTAGCAATTAAGTGTTGATTTTTTAAAATGTTTATTTGTAGACATTTAAATGATTATTGACAGCTCGCTTATTGTTTCATAGGATTATTTAATTAGGCTTTAGAAAATTAAGGTAATTTGTTCTAAGGATCATGTTTGAAATTTTTGTGAATAGTTACTTTTTTTTATAATACTTTAATAACATAATACCTAATTGTAATTTTGTTTGAGAAAACAAACGTATGGGTCAGGGCTGCTGTAAGATTTTCTTTTTTTCTTTTTTTTATATATATATATACTTACATATATATATATGAACTTCATATATACATAACATTGTTGTCAAATTATAATTATTTCCAAAAATGTTATTGTTTTGCATGAATATTGAATATACACGAAATGACTATTAGCTTATCATGTTATTGATTTTAATAATATATACCTTAACTATTAGCATAAAAAAGTATTAAAATTTTTTTCAAACACAAAATCTCAATCGCATTAATTGCTTACGATGTTTACGATGGTACCTATACTCTATAATTTGACACTATAATATTGGTTCTCGTAGAGTTGCCASCAATGATGAAAATTTAGAAGCAATTATTGCATGGTATCATATTTTTTATRCAATATATCTATCCTTGATCGGCGATCGCCAACCTTTCAGACTTCACAGACCAACCACTTAAAGTGCATGACATTAAATTCCACGGTCGACGGACGCCACAACTAGAGTAATARTAAAATTAATTTTTCAAACAAGATAATATTATATATAAGGTAAATATAATACAATTCTATCGATGGACGCTAAACCACTCGGTGGTAGGTATAGTAGCTAGCATTCGTGTAATATGGATATTATATGGATACCGTATACATTTTTACATATTTCCAATATTGAGAATTTGGTAAAAAAAATACTTGGAAACCCTTGTGGATTGTAGATTTTCCTATGTTTAGTAAAGACAAAGATGGACATTTATCTTCGCTTCATCATCCTTTTACTGCTATAAAGGCAAATAATATAAAAAACCTCAAAAACGTACCTCAATCTACTATTTCAGATAGTTATGATTNATGCCGCAATAGGCAAATATTATAATAATATCATCGTATTTAGGTACTACTTATTGTCGTAGCATTTTTGACTGGCATTAATTTAATGTAATAATTATAACATAATTAGCTATTTAATTACGGCGATAATAGCCTATAAATATAAAATTCTTAAGTTTCACAAGCGCTCGATAATTATTTTTCTAAATCGTTCGTAAATATGTGTAGGTATTGCAAATTTATTTTTGTACCTATATAGTATATATATCAAAACAATAATACTATAAAAGGTTTTTTATTTAAGAACACTGAGTATAGGAAATTATTGTAAGTTCGCACACTTGGTAATTAAGTGCAGTATGTATATGTCCAGATCTTTCTCTGGATCTCCGACTTACGGCTCGTCAAGCCGACTGATGTTTTGATCTTAACTTCCGAGGTCCTAGTTGTATGTATCTGCAACTAAATTATTATGAGGAAATCAGTAAAATTTTAATTTTCTTCATAAAGTCATGTTGAAATAAAATAAACATAAATAATTCTTCTTATACCTACCTTTATTCAATCTATTATCACATTTCTAACTTTCTTCCAAACAATTGACCGTTTCTCAGATTCGATCCGCCGCCATAAAAAAAGTTTGGTGACCCTGCTACATGCAATGTACGTAGACCATTAAGAATCTATGACCTAGGCCATCTGCAAAATAATTGTTTCCAGTTAGTTCTCAAACTTTTACAAACATGGCACCCCAAGGAAAATTTCGTGTTTCGCTGAACCCTCCCCCCCCCACCAATGTCTATAAAACGAATATTTTATAACAATATTGGTGGTTATGAATTGCTAAGATTGAGTAGACATTGTCAAAATTTCGGTAGTTGGTGCCCATTATTATTTTGAAAAATATAAAAAAATATGAAAGTATTGCTGTTTACACTTATACATAAAATTTCTGAGCATGTCTACACCTAATATTTGTACATACCTCTCCCACTTCTTAACTTCTCCCAGTTTTAAATGGTATCTGTATAATATAAATGAGTCTTGACTTAAAAGAGTTGTTCTAATTTAATTTTAATCATTCTGTCTCGTTGACATTTTAATACAATGATTATTTTGTCTCGTCTACGCGTTTTAACACAATAATTATTTTTTATAGCGAATCACGATCGTACACAAATATATTGTGTCGCTGCGCGAGATGCCGCAAAACTTTCAGACGTGTACTATTATAGAAATAATAATAAAGAATATACTGTAAAACCACATTATTGTTATTTATTTAATGTTATCACTGCTTTAAGTACCTAATACGAGGCCAATGYTAACRAAATCTATGTGTTGTGCTTGCATACAACTTCAACTATAGGTATCTATACCTATAAATATACACGCGTGACGTGCTGGAAAGTGGAAATGTCGTCGATTGCGTCATATGTTTACTCGAATTTTCATCATTAAAGGTAACACATATTATATTATATACGATGTACCTGTGCAAAAATAAATAAATTCATTAATCTGCTGGCACCTGATAAATGGCAATCATAAAGTAATAAAATGTTAAAATTCAACATAAACGAAGAGGATTTAAGTGCATTTATATTTGTTTTCTCTCCCGGGCCAACGCTCAACACAGATAAAACGCATTATTATAATGTCAATATACTGACCTAGGAAGTTATAGTCAGACACGGATCCAGAAGTACTAACCAAAGATCTGGAACGAATAGAGAGGGCTACAATTTTGTCACAACACACATTGAGAGTAGATCAAGGCCTGATTATTGTTGGAGGGGGAGGGGGTCTAGCCGGGGCTGAAACTTCTGGGCTATCCCGAGTACCATAGCGAAAAAGGGCCCAAACAATTTCAGACTGATTCACACACATTTTTCTGCGATCTTAAAGAATAGTTTATTCTATGTATTTTTAAAAACCATTTTTTTTTATCGACAAAAACTTCACTAATTACCTTCATAAGCACTAGCTATAGTTTAAAAGACGCATTATTTACTGTTATTTCCATTGATATCAATAATATCATAAATGGTTAATAATATTGTTACTCATAAAAATTATACACGGTAATACTAGTGGCAGTACATTTCAAGCGTGGATCCAGTCTATATTAAACGGGAGAGGGGCGGATTATAAATAACTATAAATATATTTACTGTTTACCTACTGATAAATACGAGTATATGTATATTATAAATATGCCATAATTGCTTACTGATTATAATGAACACTTTTTTTCTTTTTTTTTTTAAACCGAATTGAACGTTTTAATTGAATTATTTACAATTTAAAATACCCTTCTACTGTAAAATTCATGTTGAAAATTTCACTAGTTCACATTATTCTATCAGTCGTCAGTCACCACAACAATTTTACTGTTATGCGGGTAGAAATGAACAGATAACCAATAATTAATACAGATCAGTCGGTCATAATATTGTTATCAACAATTTAAAAATTTGTGTTAATACAATAAAATACGACGATTTGTGACTGAAAATAATATAACAATACACTTACATATAGGATAACACAAAATATTAAATTTAAATAATACATTCTGTGATATAGCCAACGGGGGGGGGGAGGGGGGATTGTATATCTTATATCGATGCCATGATCAGAAGCTTGTTAAGCATTAGTGGTAAAATTATGAACACATTTTGACTGAATTAAAATGTATTTAATAAGATGGCAAAAAATATTATTTTTTTTATAATATTACAGATGCTAAATCATTATGGAAGGAAATTGTAAAAATAGAGACTGTATTATAATGTATGTCGTTACTTTGGAATGACATCATGGAAAGAAGTTATAGAACGCCGAATGAATTACAACACCCAAATTTTAACACATGCAACGAAGGCGATCAACTCATTAAGACCACTGAAGTGTTATGTGTATAGTTCACGGACAATTTTACTAATAAAAAAAACTTGTCTTWGCTCTGAAATTTATATTTTGACATCCTCTTAATATAATATTTAATATTATTTATTTATTAAACTAAGAATATCCATGCAAATATGTCATCTGTACAAATCACGAATAATTACCTGCTCATAAGAATGAATTTTCGACGAAACGAGAAACATACTCTGTGCACCGTTTTTTTAGTRGTTCCACAGGCTGTATAATATTATAGTTTAGTAATATTTGCAGTTCACCGCTTCGATGCAATCCGGACCGAAGACATGTTAACTACACTTACATTTCTGTACTACCCATATCGATCTCCGATAATTCTCCTTGTCATACAACCTGTATGATGAGTGTCAAGAACGTTAATTCATTATAACTGGTTATTGGGTATACCCTACCTAAATAATAAAATTCTTAATTATGAAAAGCATTTGAAGTCTTATAGATTGGCATAGGKCAGCGGTTCCCAAACTTGTTATGATCCATTTTAGAAATTATTTAAATTTTGGCGACCCAGAATAACCTTTTTTTAGATTCTGAGCGGAGCGACGAATG